TCTCAGGTTTGGGAATATTTACATATACATATTGGGATATCTTGGGGAATGGGACACAATTCTAAACTTACAAAATTCATTTGTGTTTCATATACACCTTATACATATAGCCTGAACATGACTTGGTACATTTTTAGTGAACCTGTGTTTTGACTATGACTCCTCACAGGAGCTCAGGTATGGAATTTTCCACTTGTGGTACCAGGTCAGTGTTCAAAAAGTTCCAGATTTTAGAGCATTTAGGATTCCAGATGTTCAGATTAGGGATACTCAACCTGTAGTTTAGCAAGTGAAGCATTTATTTATCTCTCACATCCTAGTTGAAGATCAGTGTGCCACCTGGATGGGCAYAGCTGAGCTTTTTTTCCATATTTGTATTGGCGCATTATAGCTGTGCATAATGGTGGGATTTGTTGTTACATATTCGTATGTCCAAAAAATATAACAGTATAATTTAGCCAATATCATTCCCCAGTATTTCCCCTTTCCCTCTCCTACTCCCTCTGCCTAATCCCTTTTACTTAACTTATGTCTCTTGATTTTTATGAGTCTCCCCCCCCCCAACTTTTTTTTTTTCCTTTCTCCTCTCTAGCTTCATCAGATGATAGAAAATATTCAACCCTTAACCTGAGTTTGGCTTATTCTGCTTTACATAATGTTCTTGAGTTCCATCCACCTTCCTCCAAATGACAATTACATTCTTTATGGCTGAATAAAACTCCATTGTGTACATCTATCACATTTTCTTTATCCATTCATTCATTGACAAACACCTACACTGGTTCCATAGTTTGGCTATTGTGAATTGTGCTGCTATAAACATAAGTAGGCGTGTTTCACAATAGTATGCTGACTTTTCTTTTGGAAAAAGAAATATGAAGGTGTGGTATAGCTGGGTCGTATCGTAGTTCCATGCCTAGTCTTTTGAGGAACCTCCATACTGATTTCTATAGTGGTTGTACTAATTTACTATCCCACCAACAGTGTAAAAGTGTTTTCTTTTCTCCACATCCTCTCCAGAATTTATTAGTGTTTGTATTGTTGATAGCTACCTTTCTGACTGGTGTGAAATGAAATCTCAGTGTAGTCTCACTCTCATTGCTATCATTCTTACTTTGGGCACTGTCCATTTCCTTAATTGTTGAACATTTTTTCACATATTTGTCATTTGTATTTCTTCTTTTAAAAAGTGTCTGTTTGGTACATTTGCCCATTGTTAACTGGATTTTTTKTGTGTGTGGTTTTGGTATTAAGTGTTTTATATCTGGATATTACTCCTCTGTAAGAAGAATAATTAGCAAAGATTTTCTCCCATTTTGTAGATTCTCTCTTCACATTCTTAATTGTTTCCTTTGCTGTGAATAAGCTTTTGTTAACTTGATATCATCCCATTTATAAACTCTTAACATTATTTCCTGAGCTGTAGGGGTCCTATTGATAACATCATTGCCTGTGCCTTTATGTTGGGGTGTTGGGCATAGCTGTTTTATACAAACCAGGTGAGTGATTGCTCTGCTTCTATAAACATATGGCTTCCAACCTTGAAGTCTAAGAATGGAGATGTCCTCTTAAGAAAGTGGGGTGGAAGTTCTGCTCACATTCCACTGAAATAACTTAACCATTACTGGTAATTTATTCCCCATGATCTTAGGGTAAYTTTTTGTTGTTGTTGTTCACACAAGAGTGATCACTCACTGAGTGCATATTCCATCTTTTCATAYGTCTAATCTTAAAAATCTAGCATGTTAGTTAAAACTAGACCTATTTTACAAATAGAAAAACAGCTGCAGGTAACTTCAATCTCATCCRTTTTACATTTAATCAAAGGATCTCTCCTTTTTAAGTGATATTCAAAAGCTAAAGATTAACCACAGCCTAAGAACAGAAATAATCAAGGAAACATAAATAATCAGGAGACTAACCAGGGAGGCAAGTGGGACAAACATTAGATGGGCAGAGTGAAGTTTGGGGGGCTCTAGTAGCTCTGCCACCCTCCACTGGGTTGGGCAAGCCATTCTCCTGTCTGTATTTCCGTTTCCTCACCTCATCTGCAGAATGGGCTATTGAATTAAATATGTTAAGTGGAGGAAAGGGGAATGGGTAATTTTTTWAAAAATGTTCTAATCAAGGAAATAACTAGAATAGATAGATCTTTGGTGACCTACACAAGGAAATCAGTTGAGCCTCCTCCAGTCTCAGAAGACAAGCCACAACCTGCTAGGTGAGTCACACCTGTTTCTCACATTCCTTCCTGGGGCAACTGCAGGTCTGAGTCCAAAAAGTAAAAGGTGAATTAGGAAGGGAGGGAGTTTTCTGGGGGTCGAGGCTAGACCCCTGAAGGTAACTGGTTCAGGAGTCCTGAACCCAGCAGAGGTAAGCTGAGTTTCACAGAAGCATGAGGGGCTTGGAGGAAAGGACCAGGAAAAGCATTTTATCTGCTGGGTGCATAGGACAGCAACCTGGGGTGGGAAGCCAGAGCCAAGGTTTCAAACCCCGGCTTTGGCATGTGGAGGATGTGTGTTCATGAGAATACTTGACTTCTGAAGAACTCAGTTTTCTGATGTGTGCCATGCATATCATTTAGAAAAGAGAAATTTTTTTAAGTACACTGAGCTCTTGCCAAGTGCCCAAGTTGTTCTAAGTACTTATACCAGTCACCTCATTTCATCTTCACAATAATAAGATATTTGTAGTTTCATTTAACTAATGAGAATATGGGAGTTAAGTGACTTCCCAGCTTAACGGAGCAGTCTTTGAACACAGATTTGTCAATATTTCAGTTATTTCCAGTAAGTCAATGTCTCATTATACATGTGAAAAGTACTTTTTGTACAGTGAGTGCTATAAAGTGCAGAGAGTCATCRTCTGGAATGAATGAAGAAACTTATAGATATTATACAGAAGTGACATTCCAAAGAAGGAATRGCTTTTGGGGGGAGCTCCCTTGTTTAACTGTCCACTCAATCTGTTTATTTTTTAGGCAGTCAAGTGATAGTTTTTTTGAAAAGACTCATGAAACAATGAGGCTTTCTAGTTCCAGCTGTGCCACAGAAACATTAATCTAGAGAAGGCACTTGCTCTTAAAAAAAAAAAAAAGAAAAGAAAAGAAAAGAAAAGAAATGAAGGTTAGGTCAGAGGCCATTACCAAGGTCCTTTATGCCAAGACATGTGAGTGACTAACAGAGTGGAAAGCACCCAGGGAGCCTGAGAATGGAGTCTCACTCTCATTGCTATCATTCTTACTTTGGGCACTGTCCTACGATGGGGAGTCAGCCCACATCCTTCCCCAGCCCCTCTGTGAAGTCACATCTTGTATGAGACTAAGAAGATTTTTGAGGCTTGAAGAGCAGTTCCTCCCCAGCTGGGGTGGCAGCAGACTCTGAGATCCTGAAGTATTAACTTCTCCAGCACCAGACACCCCCAGCACAAGCGGCAAAGACYGTGGCTGAGAGCAGCCTCCCCCCATTCTCACCCATGTTACAGTCTCCAGGGGTTAGCATAGTCTGTGGAGGGGAAAGGGGCACAAGATGGATTCCTGGGCGAGAAACTGAAGTCCTGGATGTAGCGTATTAGTTACAGAATATTTGATATGCCAACCACTCCCTCCTTTACAGTTGCCCAGTGTACCCTCAGCTTCCTGGTTATTACTGTCATTGTTTACACTTAGGCTGCCCCTCGCACCATGCTTGGCTTCACATAAATAAATGCAAATGAGTGAGGAGGAGGAGAATGCATGAAAGAGCCAGGGCCTGGTTTTTATAGCTACTAAGGGAAAAAAATCTTTACAGCACATTAATAGTAAAATCCTAGAGAAAACAGCCATGTGCACAGCCAGCTCATAGGGCTGACCACAGACTGGCTGTAATTTCATGGGAAAGTTTCTTAACCTCTCGGAGAACTTCAACATGTTGAGCTTAATGAATTTTCCCAAGGACTAAATGAGAACAGTACCTCCTATTTCAGAGTAGGGCTGTGAAACAAATTAGACCTTTCCCTCTCTACCGGTGCCAAGGCTTGCTTAGAGGTAGTCAAAGAAGGCTGGGTCCTTTCTTAGCCAGTGTGGCCAGTTTTTGCCTCCTGCCTCAAACCCACCAGCATTTAAATTGGCCAGTTAGGGCCGCTAAGAAAATACCACAGTGGCAATATGAAATGACCACTCTGCAAAAAAGAAATGTTAGGATTTGAAATAAAAATACCCCAGTCATGAGAAATCAGAGAGAAGAGGCCAAAGTGGTATAAATCTGGAGGGAGTATTCACAAACTCCATCTTTTCATCTTTGCCTTTCCCATATTTTATTAAATGCATGTTTTTAAAAAAATCACAGCAGTATTATCAAATACAACATATATACAAACATTTTACAAAAGAAAACATTACTGATATCAGCTGTAATAAGGGAGAGCTGAGAATCAAAGCCGTTTCTGGGGCAGTCTCTGCCCTCAAACTAAGACATCTAAAATGTGTTCAGGCAGGCAGTAGAAATAGGCTTCTTTCCTAGTGACAAGCTGTGTGGTCGGTAATACAAACGATGGTAAATGAGGAWACTACACAGGCCCAATTAATAAGGAGGGCCATGATAACTGGGGAGCTCATCAAATAACAAACTCAAGATAGTAAAAGAGCTGTTTGCCTTCTAAACTCATTTACAGCTTCCAGATCGATCTGATCTGATCACTTGCACAGAGGCTGGGTTGTAAGACACTTGCTTCTTACACATGGCTCAGTGCCATCCTTCCCTTAATTCCCAGAGTTAGTTTTCCTTGGACCAAAGGGAAGAAATTTTAGAATTGCTTCCTTCAAGACAGAAGTCAGGAAGAGCTGTCCCCTGATACCAGGAAATATCAAATTTATCAAACTCGGTGTGTGTGTGTGGAGGAGGGAGGGGGGCAGTAAGGATTTGGGAAGAGAAATGTCTCCTTTGGGCCAAGAATCAAGAATTGTGACTCAGTTTGGTCTGAGATAATCTGATACCCACCCCTCTCCCTTTCCCTCAGTGTACCTACAAGCTGGGTTCATTTCTCAACTCCCCCAGTTCTTTGATCTCCACCTTCTTATACTTCCCGGACTTCCTCCGGTTGGTGATCACCAGGACAACCAGGCCAGCGACCAAGGCTACCACGACCACCACGATGACGGCGATGAGGCCGGCGGTGAGGCGCTTCATGGAGAATTGGGGAGGCTTCTCGTCCAGGTAATAGATCAGCGTCCGCTCCACGTGCAGAGGCTCACCGCGCACCTGCATGTCCAGGCCTCCTGGGCCCGCGAACAGCGACTCGCCCTTGATATCTCTCTCAAAGTAGTAGGCGGCGTCAGCGATGTCCACGTCGCCGGGGACTTTCTGCGACGCGTTCTGCCACAGCTCGATCTGAATGGTGGGTTCCTCATAGTGCACAGCCGTCAGGAACCTGGGGTGCAGCTGATAGCGCTCGCGGAAGAGCCGCCGCAGCTCGGTGTCCAGGTCCGAGTGGTTGAAGGCGCGGTCGGTCGCGCGGTGGCGCAAGTCAATGAGGATGTGGTGGGTACGCACCACCTCATCGCAGCGCAGGTKCTGGTCGCCCTTGTCCGTGCGGCGCACACCCACCGAGTTCACGCACCAGCACACCGACGTCTGATTGCACTGGCGCGCCTTGAAGCGGCCCTCGTGGTCACATTCGGGGTCGTAGAGGCCATCATTGTCCACGATCGCGTGCTCGTTCGGCCGCACCAGTCGACGACCGCTCTTAGGGACGCTCATGCGGGCCTTGAGCAGCAGGCACTTGGAGGTCAGCTTGGAGCAGTCGACCACCACGCCCGAGCCGAGCGCGCGGCATTGGCAGCGGCCCCCAGGGCCATCCTGGGAGCACACGGTCATCTTGTTGGTGGGGCATGTGCAGTTGTACTGCGCGACAGCGTAGCCAGACACCGCCGCCAGCACCAGCAGCGCCAGCAGCGGAGGCGGCGCGAGGCTGGGGCCCCTGGCCATAGTGGGGCGGAAGAGCGMGTACGGGACACTGGAGGATTAGGCGCAGGGGCTCCGCTGGCTCTGACTCCGGCTACCAGGACAGTCTGCAGGCGTCTGCCTCCTGGCCGCTCCTTCCCGCTCTTATACTCCGCCGGACCTGCCCGGCTGGTTCGGCGACTACTCACCGGCTGGTATTTGGGTGACACATCACCCCCACTCCTCATCCCACGGAGGGCCCAGACTGCCCTGCGCCGCCCGCGATAGGATCGGGGCAGGAGAAGCTGCTCCCGCCTCCTCCGACCGAAAGCCGGGAAGAGGGAAACCGATACTCACCTGCGGCTGCGGGCACCGGGCCCCGCCCTCCTGGCCCCACCCTGGGAGGGATCCGCCCTCTGCAAGGCTTCTAGCTCCAGACCTTGGGCGTCCCTGCGGCTCACCGGGGCAGGGATTCCCAGGAGTTTCAAGGGGGAAGTGAAGCTCAGGGCTGCCGCTGGCCTCCCCACCCTGTCCCCACACTCCCTTCCTTTCTCTCTCCCTTTCCCCAACACTTTCCTTCAAGTTCTTTCGTTCCTTCTCTTTCTCCCCAAGTTCCAGTAGCACACATTTATAAAGTGCAGTGTTCACAAGCATTATCTCATCCTCATGCCAGCCCAGGCAGGCAAGACGAYTTCCCATACCCACTATACAGGTGATACAGGTGAGGCTTGGAGACTAAAGTCTCCCAGCCAACAGTTTCCTCAGATTCCTGGGAAGGACCTTTGATACCCTGCCTAGCTGTTGTGAGATCTTAAATAAATGTGGAAAAGAAACGGTGCAGAATCTAAAGAAAAGCACTGGTAAAAACCTCGGTGTCCCAGTGTCCAATTATTAAAAGTTCCTTCACACGCTTGGTACATTATGTCTGTATTCAGTATTAGGAGATGAAAAGGGAAAAAAAATGTTAAAGAGCCAGCAAGACTATAAGGAGTTCTTGTATAACTTGATTCTAGAAGAGCAAAGTTTTCTTTTTCGGGTTATGTCTCTGAATTCCTGCACATAATGAAAGAATGGAGCCGGTGAGAAATTGCTCACCTGCCACTATGTGGCTCCTTTAATGGGATGGAGGAGTCGCAATCTCTTTTTGAATCATTGAGAAAGTTCAGAGTTCCAAAGCTGTGGTAAAATTAACAATAATTAKAAAGCTATAATTATTCCTGGGTCCTCCATCAAAGCACGTTTTATATATTCAGCAGTTAATATGCACCGCCAGTAGCACAGAGGTGTTGTTTAACACATGAAAGGCAGTCAGGACTCTGTCCCATTAATTTTCAAGCAATTCCTGAAGCAGGTAGCTGGAAACATATTATTCTGCCTTTACAGGTAGAGGAAGTGAATAGGTGAAGGACAATTGTCTACCTACCAACACCAGAAGTTGTTGAATTCGGCCTCTGCTTTCTATCCCCACTGTCTCTGTTCAGTTCTTTGGACAAATAACCTAGCCAGGTTCCCCCTTTGTTTTCCCTCTTCAACCCCAGCGCACCCTGCTTCGGAGAGACTTTCTAAATCACAAATATGTGCCACCTTCTTTCTACAAAGAGTGCTTCAAGCCTTCTCTTAGGATATGTGGCTCTTAGGATAAAATTCCTACTTCTTAAGTTAGCACATAGTATCCTTTCTGTATTACCATATCTTCTCTGTGCCTTAGTTTCTTCATCTGGAAAATGGGGGTAATAAAAGCACCTTACATGATAGGTATGAGGACTAAGGTAGAGAAACTACTGAGAATAATATCTGTTTCCATAGCATCTGCATATGGTAAGCAATGGATAGGTGTGAACTACTATCATTGCYATCTTCACCATCATTGTCATCATCATCATTCATCTTACTTTTGAAACTTCTTCAGCATTCCTCATGGTTTCAAGCCCTGGCAACATCATCTACCTGGAGTTTCCCCTTCTTGGTCTACATAGTGCATAATTGTGTATTCCTACTCTGTTCTTGAGTCACCTCCAGGAATCCTTCCCTATAGGTCCTCCCTATTGCACTCAGAAGTAGTCATCTTCTCTGTGCTTTCCTATCTTATATATACTGCAATTAGCATATAATTAACATATACTRCCTTTTCTGGGCTTCTGTTTCCCTCATCTGTAAAATGGGTATAATACAGTCTCTACTTCATAGATTATTCTGAGAATCAAATCTAAATAGATGAAAGAGTAGATGCAAAGGCTTTGCAAACTCCAATCGTCTGTTTAAAAGAAGTTAGATTACATTTCCATTTTTAAAAATATCTTTCCTAACTTCTTACTTCTTCAGAGATGGACTAGGTTGCTACAAATCTGTGCAACTGGCAGAGCCATCTGGTAATCATTCCACTGGGTCTCAGAATGAAGAGAAGAAAGCTGATGGGAGAGGGTTCTCAGGATTGAGGGATGTTTGTGATGATGTGTTGCCTTCTTAGCTAAGACAGCCTCAAGTGGCAGTACATTATTGGGGCTAGTGCTCTGAGGTCTCAAATCCTCGCCTTTTCCAGTTATGTTCTATCTATTCTCGGAAGACAGGAATAGGAGGGGCCCAGCCTCTCTATCCTCTGTGGGAAGCTGGTGGACCAAAGATGACCTCCATATGTCCCCAGTCCCTTTCCTTCACTTCTGTAATTCATGCAGCTTTCCACAACAGGCACACAAACACCAGAATGGGTTCATAAACAGTCCCAGCTCTGATACTTTCTTTGTCCATTTCCTGCTTATTTCTGAAAAATAGCATTTTTTTAAACAAGCTTTATCTTGTGGTATTTTTAAAAACTTATTTGTAAACATTTAACATAAAGCATTCCATCAACTCAGTATTTTTGAGTGTTTGTAAGTGGGCAAGAACCCCATCTGAGCACTCCAGCTCCAGCACCAGCCTACAGAAGACACTAAACAATGTGTATTAGATGAATTCATGTTGCTTTGGCCCAGAATGTTACAGTATTAACATCCTCCTTCAGAAGTCTTCATGTGGACCACTTCAAGACTTCTAGCTTAAGTCTTACCACCTACCGCAACCACCGTTCTCCATCCCTACCCTAACTCACACTCCACTCACTCAATTTCAAAGAAGACTAGATAATGATGCCATGAGTATTACTTTTGCTTTTATGCATGACTCCAAACTTTAATTGGCCTTGTGCTTGGATGGAGGAGGGATGTGATCAGAGGAGGCCAGATTGATTCTGTAGGCAAGGTATGTAGTGTGATTGAAAGAAAATGGACTTTGGATCCAGTTAGACTTAGGTTTAAATTCTGGCATCATAGCACTCATTGGCTGAGACTTTGAGCAAGTTATTTTGCCACTCTGACCTACAGTTTCTTAATTGTCAAATGGGGGTAGTAATGCCTACATTTCTCCAATGCCTATGAAAAGGATGATTTCCCACAAAGTTCTTTGCTATTAAGAGTACAATTTCCTCTCCCTCTCTCTAAACGTGACACTTCAGTTGTTCTTGTGCTCTGTTTTATAAACTCTTAGTGATTATCCAGTGCTCTCTGGGTTAAAACTAACACCAACATGTGAGTTTTATATTGAGAGATATGATATACTTATATATCATATAACAAGACACAAATATAGAACTGTGTTTTACTAATTTAAAAACTAATATCATCCAGAATTATTTTAATGATTCAAGATAAAAATTATCAATATCCAACATAGTGTTTGGCATGTAATAAGTAGAATAATCTTAGCTATTGTTATCTGCTATCTCAGGAATGTGAGAATCTTTGGAGATCATTAAAGTATTCTACACAAGAYTGGTGATTCTGGAGACTGCTGAATATCAAGAGCAAGGAGCTGGGTGCTAGGGAAGAGAGTTGCAGGACACCGGTATACATAGAATATCCAGGTGCAAATGGAACTTTGGTATAATTTCTCCCATTGTTTGCAGCAGAGCCTACAATACCCCCAGGGGAGTAGGCAGAGAAGGTGTTATTATCCCTATCTTATGGATGTGGAAACAGAGGCCTTGGGAGGGGAAGGGAAGAACCTGCCATGGTCACATGCTTTTAAGTGGTAAGGCCACATCTAGAATCCAGGTCCCCTGACTGCAATTGTATGTAGAATTAACAAAGATAGAACTAACAAAGGGATGAAAGAGATTAAGGTCTTATGTTACTGGGCTTTTAAAATATTTTTTTCCCTTCTTTGTACAAATATTTTTAGTGAGTTCTGGTTTTATAAAGAATGACCAAATAGCTATTCACGTAGGCTACAGCWATGTGCCCACACCTGAAAACCCCAGGACTTGAGCCGTTGACCACCACTTCCTCATATACTCTAGAGTGGAAGCGGTCGGTCCTGTTGCCTCTGTTCTGCCTCAAAGAAATAATCTGCATTTGAATCAGTAATGCCGTATATTAGCCATGGACTCTCTGTARGTCTTTTCCCTTGGCTTCCTTTTTCCCAAAGTAGAGATAATGATGACCTCTTAGAGATGTCATGAGGCACCACAGGCATAGTGTCTGCCTGGTGGCATCTTGGGAAGATTCCTCACCTTTCTTTCTGGCCTGACCGTGGTCCCCTTGAGCCTGTGTAAAGAGCATCTTTTGAGACAGTAGCCGCCCTGGAAGGCCAGGCAGGGCCTTCTTTCCTCTTCAGAGTGCTCTTGGAGCTCTAGAGAAAGCAGGGGATTCTTTAGCCAGGATGCAGGAAGTACAGCGAGAGGAACYTGCTGTGGTGACTGTTGGCTGAGGATGGAGGAAGGAGGCCCCAAGAAACAGAACACAGAAGAGGAAGTCAGCCCAGGACCTGGGAGTGGGGTTGTAGGAAACTGAGTAGACAAGACCCAACTGTAGCCTCAGTGTTTCGTTTCCTTTAAAATGTAACTCCAGTACTATGAAGTATTATTATTGGAAATATTCAGGATATAGACACAGTCTGGATCTTTTTTTTTTTTTCTTAAAATGTTTATCATATGGCAGGCCCGTCCCCCTGGGTCTCTCAGAGTGTCCCATGCCAAAGCAAACTGTGGCCCTGAACCTTTGCCTGGCCTCTGC